CGCGTGGGATGAGGATGCTGCGAGCACGTGGGATGAGGATGCTGCAAGTGCGTGATTACCGATGATGCCTTCGAAGATGTAGTGACGTCCGGTGTCAGGACTCGGCGTTGTCGCCATGAGGCTGCCAGCGTTGAAGCGGAAACCCGCCGTCTGGTTGCTCTTCGTGCTGAACACGCTCGACGACCGCTTCCGCATCGCTCCAGCCTGCAGCAACGAGCGCGACGGTTACCACGGCAACCGCGTCGGACACCGGAGCGAGCGAGAAAGGACCGTGATCGAGATGCAAATGCAGGAAAGCTGAATACTATTGAAACAAAGAGGAGGATGATAGCGACAAAACACCGATAAGGGCTTCACTGGAAGAGGAATCAGAAAGAGAAACATAAAGGGGATGATGAAACAAACAAAACGAGACCAGAAGAAGAGGAATTGGAAGGAGATCAAGTGTAAAGCATGGGAAGTGCAGAAGAAGGAAACTAAAAGAAAGAAGAAATAGACAATAGAAATTAGGTGATGAGAACGTTTAGCTGTGCCAAACTTACGAGAGACTCCGAGTCGGGATCCGAGAGTGCCGACGATGGCCGGATGCTGTGGGAGAATATCTTGGCACGTTCGCTGTCGCAGGGACTGGCGCCCCTCTCAGAGCCGTGACTCACGATTGTGCTCGCCTCTGAAACCTGTCAGTGAAACGATCGTTGCCACTATCACCACGCCGAAGGCTGAGATCTTATACAATATATTACATCACGATGCTAACCGCGAGCGCGTCGATGGGGGCGGAGATAACGAAACAGAAAGGCTGCGGTGGCATAGAATAGTAGACATCTCCGCTCTAGATTTCACTAGCGAAAGCAGATATGACAGTGGAATAAAAAAATAAAAAATAAAAAAATAAATAAATAAATAATAATAATAATAATAATACAGACAGTAAGGTGAGCAGCGATGGCGGTGGCGGTGAGGGACGCACCTGAGATTCGGACTTATGCAGGAGTCCGGCGCGGCGTGCGGCGATCAGCTCCAAGATGGCGGCATTCTTCTCATCGCCGGTCGCTCGTAACGCCTCGACGGTCGTGTTGTGTAGCTGCAGCATGCCCAGGTTCCTGAAACACAGGCGCGCGCACAGCCAGCAGGGGGCGCTGTAGTTGTCGTTGAGGACTGCATCGTTAGCGGCTAAACAAGTACTGTGACAATCTTACTGACAAGGCCTACTATGGTAAGGTCCACTGTGACTGTGATAAAGCCACTTGTACTGTGATAAGGTCCACTGTGACTGTGATAAAGCCGCAGTGATAAGGTCCACTGTGACTGTGATAAAGCCACTGTGAGTGATAAGGTCCACTGTGACTGTGATAAAGCCACTAGTACTGTGATAAGGTCCACTGTGACTGTGATAAAGCCACTAGTACTGTGATAAGGTCCACTGTGACTGTGATAAAGCCGCTGTGATAAGGTCCACTGTGACTGTGATAAAGCCACTGTGATAAGGTGCACTGTGACTGTGATAAAGCCGCTGTGATAAGGTCCACTGTGACTGTGATAAAGCCGCTGTGATAAGGTGCACTGTGACTGTGATAAAGCTGCTGTGATAAGGTTCACTGTGACTGTAATAAAGCCGCTGTGATAAGGTCCACTGTGATTGTGATAAAGCCGCTGTGATAAGGTCCACTGTGATTGTGATAAAGCCGCTGTGATAAGGTCCAC